TACTGTCATTACCAAGTGATAAAGCATCCATCTTTGTAGTTGTTGATTTTGAAAAAGATCGTTCGAGTGTTTTGATCAGATAAAATTAAGTTTTTAACTGTAGAATGTCGAAAACCTAATTTTCAGGAATAAGTTCGAGAAGGGGGTCGAGAACTTCTATCAAGAAGCAGTTTTCGTTATTTTGATATCGAAAACCTTGCTATCGAGAAGCTAGGTTCGAGAAGCAGCTTTCGAAAAGTCAGTATCGAGAACTTTAAGTTCGAAAACTTAGGTTCGAGAACTGAATGTCGAGAAGCCGTATCGAGAACCTGCAAATGCGAAAACAAGATATCGAAATTTTAATGTCGAAAACTGAGTATCGAGAACAGAAGTTCGAGAACTCTAATCGAGAACTTATGTCGAGAAGTCAGTGTCGAAATCCTGCAAATCAAAAATCAATTTTAAACAGATAAAACAGCTTTTCGGTAAAGTCCTTGATCTCGAGAATCTCTTTGTGCAGTTTGAATACTGAAACACTTGTAGAAGCCTCGAGAAACCTGCTTTTCGATATCAGAATATCGAGAACCTCAAATCTGAAACTTAAACTGTTCGAAAATCTAGGATATACTGCTTGCTCGTTTTGAGAGGCGATTTCAGCAGTACATCTTTTACACTTTTTCGTTCAAAGATGAGATTACAACGATTAAAAGGGTACAATATCGAAAAGAAGAAAAACAGAGGACTTCGAAAACTTTTTCTTCGGCGATCACACTCGAGCAGGCTCTGATACCAGTTGTTGGTCCCAGTTTATGCAGACTAACGATCAACTAGATGGTATTCAACGATTAAACAGAAGAAAAGAAGATCTGATAATGATAAGGCAATATCGAGAACAGAGAAATTCTTCTTCTAGTTTATCGAGAACTATTTGGGCAGCGTAAGGCTCAAGTGTATTGATCAATTCGATTCTTCTTTTTGGTACCTGTACACAAGGCGCGTATTTATAGGCGCTGTACAGGTTACCGATCTAGGTAAACCTTGGAAGTTGGGCCAAGGCCTTTTTGGGCCTTATTCCCTTTACCTTATTTATTACATATTAATACTAATCTAATACCATAAACGGTATAACTAGTCTACTTTATTAAACAAGACTTAACAGACAAACTTGACCCACAATAAAAGTTCTAACAAATCTAATCTGGTCTGGTTTGGTCTGGTCTGAACTGGTTTGGTCTGATAAACATCTTGTCTCTGTGTATTTTATAGCTACGAGAGTCAAGTCTGGTCTGATCTGGGTCTGATCTGGTATGATCTCCTTCATTTAAGTTAGGTCGGACGGTCCGATCCGGTTTAGTTTGGGGTGAGATGGAAATCAATTCATTTAAAAATTGAAGAGAGTAAAGCTCGAACAAATACGAAGTAGTACTTCGTATAAGACCCCTCGCCTCCCAAAGCGACGCATTACGCCAAGCGACTTTCAGCGGTGCGCCTCCTCCGTCGCCCAAACTCATCGCCTGTCACAGTTACAATCGTCACTCACCCTCTATTCAGCGCCGTCATGCCCATCACTCAGGTAAATATTATCCAGGTCTCTTTTTCGAGAGATTATCCAGGTCTTTCATTACTATGTTCTCTGTATTTAGGGTTTTGATTTAGTCTCGTTCTTACTTTTAATGCTACACGCGTAGTATAATATTGCTGGGTTGTTCATCAATTTGTTTGATGGTAGCTATGAATTTGTGATGTTAGTTATGAGTAAAGGTTTAAAGTTTTTTATGACGCTTATAAAGTGTTTGTTTAAATGTTCAAGTGGATCATACCAATATCTTGGTTTGTGGCTTGCTTCATCGATCTCCCAATCAATGTAAATAGGTACGGGCTACAGAACACTCATAATATATGATCTGTCATTGTGTCCTATTTACGTTAAACTTGAAATGGAAAATGGAAAAATAGAAGCTCTCATTTATAAAAATTTGAACACACTCTACCTAAAATAGTGCAACAAACTTTTCTTAAAGAATTTGTTCCTCTTTTGCGTGCAGAAAGTTGAACAGATTGCGGGTTTAGTTTCTTCTTGGATGGTGATTTTTATATGCAAAATGATCTGCTTTTTCAGCCCTCACACGCTTCAGAACCTGCTATATTATGATGGATATATTCTTAATTTCTTTTTTTCTAGCCATTGTAGTGCATTTTCCCTAGGGTTTGTTAGTCATGCTAAACTGAAGCTATTATAAAAGAGTTTGAATTTAATAGATAAGATGTGTTGTAGTTAGAACTAGTATTTAGTTAATTCAGCCATAAAGCTAGCTAATATGTCAAAATGTAAAAGGCCATTTATTTTTTAGTAAAAGATAGTTAAATGAGTCATTTTTTATATTTCTTTACATAGTGACCCAAAAAACTATAGGTAAGAATGTAAAATCGAAATAATGTTTAACAATTTGTTAAGCCTGTATGATAACATAAACAATTTGTCTTCCCAGTTGGACCCAATGGCACATGATAATTATTATCAATTTATGAACTTTAATATCAGGAACCCAATCTTTTATCTCACTCCATCTAAAAAATATTAATTTGAGCTTGTTCATTTATATGAAATGCTTGAAAAAAAATAATGAAAATTTTAGCGATACCCTGCTATTCAATTATTAACTAATTGATTTGTTAATATTTCATTTATGAGCATCTCTCGTCTCTCCCTCCCTCCCTCATCTGCCTAGCTCCATTTTCTTTCCAGGTTTCGTCCTGTCATATGGCCTTTTATATATGACACCTCTTCTCTATAGCGCAAAATTCCAATGATCTATCAGTGTTCTATGTGGGTCTTTTTTTTCATTTCTGAATTATTTTTTGGAATCTTAACTTTTTCTTCAATTCTTTTGGAGGGTGAAAGCCAAGGCATCCAGTGCAAGGATCTTTAGAGCTTCCATGGAATAGCATGAAGTTACCTACAGGTCTGACCCCTTGTACACTGCTATAATTTATCTCTTTATTTACGGTTCAATTGTTTATTATAAGTTTTGAATTGATTCTAATATTGTATATAAGGGTATACATTGTTTACACATATGTAATCTTTTTTATCTTTAAGTTGCTCATCACCTACAAGCTGCTCCGACAACGACCTCAACAAGGACTCGTAGAAAATCCATACATTTTTGGAATCGACGGTAGATGGAGCAATTTCATTTCCATGATCTACTAAGTGGTATTTTATTTGCAATACTCATTTTTCTCTTTCTCTCTATTTTACAGAGGCATGATAGTGGTGGAGCTTTATCTGTTTCGAGAGCCAATGATGGATGTTTCCCTTCACTTGAGTTCAATGTTTTCCAGACAATTTTGAGTTAATACTCTTTAGTTCATAGAGTCTGTTTTATAAAACATGTACACATTTAGATTAGTATTTTGTGATGTATTCTTAAAAGATACTTCGTATTATGTTAGATGAGATGTACGTTTCTCTTTTTAATTAAATATATCGTTATACATTTTCTTATAATAAGTGTTGCAATGATTTCCGTTATTATTTGTTTTATTGTCACAATAGATGTTGTGTACTCTTATTAAGAGTGTGGCTAAATGTTGCCTAAATTGATGATATAAATGTTTAATATTATAAAACGAATTTGCAAAAAATATAAAAAAGAACGTGTTACATAAATGTAAAAAAGTGTTGCTTGAAGTTATGGTATAAGTGTTGCACATTTCTCAAAAAAGTGTTACCTAAACATCATATTAAAATGTACAATGTAGTGTTGCATATGCATGCTTTATGCAACACGTATATTCAATGTTGCATAAAATAGAGAAAAGTGTTACATATGACTTTATGCAACGAGACCTGAAGTAACACATATAAAAGTGTTACATTAGCCTTTTGTAACACATTAATCGTTTAATGCAACATTTTAGTGGTGTTACAAAAAGTCCATTTTGTTGTAGTGCTTTTTGCTTTGGACACTGCATATATAAATTTCAATTTAAGATTTAATAAAATTAAGGAAAAATTCCCGAAATAGGAGTAAAAATGTTTCAAAATTCCAAAATAGGACATACATGTTTTTATTACCAAAATAGGAGTAATTACTGTCATGCTTGGAAAATGCTATCATGTTTCAAGTCTGGTACTGCCAAAATATGACAGTAATTAGTCCTATTTAGAAAATAAAAACATGAAAGTCCTATTTTGGAATACACAAATGTTTTAAGTCCTATTTAGGAAAATATCCCTAAAATTAAAGGTTGATATCTTATTAATTTTACTAGTCAAGGCATACCGTTACAATTAACCAACTCCATTTAATTAAGTCTCTTATTTGACTTTGAGGCCTAATAGATCTTTACCCCCCTTAAAATGAGTTATACAATTTCATCACGACAGACTCAAGGACTCCACACACACACACATATACACACACACTAGCATGGGAACGCGCGTTGCGCGAAATCCCGTGCTCAACGATGAAAAACAAGCAAAAAAGATGTGCAAGAATAATTAAAATATGAAAAGAGTAGTTCAAGTATGGCACTTACATCATTGCAGTTGTTTGGCACCATTTAGCATCTGAAATATAAGCAAAAACTTGAAATGAGTTGTTCAATGATTCCAAAAAGTTGGCTCCCTTGCCAAAAATGTGCTTCTTTCGGTTTGGTTATACAGTATACATGAGATTGATTTTTTAGTTTAGTTATAACAAGGAGGATTTTTTCATTTTTCTAATATTTGTAATCATAGCAGAAGCTACAAAAATTCCTGCAATAGACACCCTAAATAGTAGAGAAAATAGGCATAAAGAAATAGGCATTCTCACCTGCTTTTCCTGTCACACAATGTACAAGAACACGTGCTCTATCCCTTTCACATTCTTATGCAAAATACAAAGTTCACAAAATCAAAATCTCCCCTATATAGGTCAAATGATATTCCTAAATAATCCCAGAACATAGGTAAAGCAAAACATTATATTTGGTTGTCTCTCGTGTGTAGGTCAAATGATCTCCAAGGTTATTAATTGCTGAACAAAAAAAGAACATATCAGATAATGAAAACATTATCTTATCAGTGCACGTGTATTTAGAGATAATATCAATCTGTTACTTTAGTTATGTATAGTTATGTATTCTTATCTATTAGATAGAATAGTTACTCTGGACTCTTCCGCTAAGGAGAATAGCAGGTAATACATACGAAGCTCTCATGTATAAATAGATGTGCTAGTATCTGTAATTCATTATCATAAAAATACTTCTGCAATATTAAAGTCCATATACACATCCAATAGCTTCGACATGGTATCAGACGACCAGGCTGCGACATCTTCCCCTGGCAACGACACTATCAGTAGTGTTCTTCCGTCATCTCAGGTGAGTCTCTCCAATGCTCACCATTTCGTCTCCCTCAAGCTCACTTCCAGAAATTACTTATTCTGGAAAACTCAGCTTGTACCCTTGCTCCGAGGAAACCAACTTCTCGGCTATGTTGATGGAACCATGCCTTGTCCGCCCAAATCAGATCCTACATATTCTACTTGGGTCACTCAGGATCAGTCTATTCTCAGTATGTTGATATCCTCTCTGTCAGAGGAAATTATGCCGCTTGCAATTGGGCACTCCACTGCTCGTGATGTCTGGGTCGCTATCGAACGAGCCCTAGCCTCTCAAACGCGTGCTCGTTCTCTCAGTCTCCTTACTCAGTTTCAATCCCTCCGTCAAGGTGATATGTCTCACACAGAATATCTTGGGAAAGCTAAAGTTCTTGTTGAAAATCTTGCTCAGTCCGGCCGTCCAGTTTCTCTTGATGAGCAGAATCTTTATGTCTTTCGTGGTCTCCGATCTGATTATCGATCGATGGTCTCTACCCTTGCTACTCAACCTGAACCGGCTACACTTGATGAAATTGCACATTTCATCACCACTCATCAATTTATCTATGAAGATGAGCCGTCCATCCCAGTTTCAGATCTTGTTCCCTCGCCTCCAACTGCACATCTGAGTCACACTTCCCACCAGATGCATGGCTCGTCTTCTCAATCTTCTGCTCTGACTTCTTCTGGGAGGCAAGGGGGCTATCGAGGTAGAGGATCTGGATCGCACAGAGGTCGTTCTCCTGCACGTGGTCGTGGTGTACCTCATTCTAATCCTCATTCCACTTGCCTTGTTTGTCAAATTTGTGGCCGTACAGGGCACATAGCACCCAACTGTTATGCACGTAGTCTCCATATAATGTATGTTTTTTTACTACACAAACATAATAAAAAATCCATCCGTAAACTATGGGCAACCAAATTAAGTTATCCAAAACTATGCATCAAAAGAGACTGCCTCCCCAGTAATGTTATTTGCTAGTGTAAATCTTTCATTTTTTCAACCTTAAATTTAAAGACAAAAAACAAAAAATCACACTACTTAAAGGATAAAAAAATCAATTTCGTAATCCTTAAAGACCTGTCAAAGAGAAATGAAGAGACAACCAATGGACTCACATAAATCACATGAATGATAGATGACAAAATGCAGAGGGGTATCAAACCGTCAGAGGAAATTATACTCTTCTATTTGATAAACATTTTATTATTATTTTTAAAACCAAACATAAATTACATCAATCATTTATGTTAAATGCAGATGAATATAAATATGCCCTAGGAATTAGCATCTATGAACTAAACTTTTATTCATTTAAAAAAAGTATACATGAGTCCCGTTAACTAATCATAGATGACAAAATGCTGAGGAACATTAAGCTGGCATGGGTAAATAGCCTCTACAAAACTTTTTTCTGAAGTCAAACAAATATTAACTACATAAACTACCTTAATTAATCATATATGGTAAAATGCAAGGGTATATCAAGCTGCCATAGTGAACACCCTATGATTTTTTTTTCATTTTTTATTTATTACAAAAATAAAAAGATAAAGCATTAAGAAAAGAGTCTTACATCCTATAAGCAGTGATGGAGATGCTGCCACCTGACTCACCTCAACCTTTGGTACCTCCATCGCCACCATTTGTCACCTTTGGCACCACGAAGGCAATAACGACATAGACAATCACCAGGAGGAGGACTATCAGGGCAATTCCGCAAAGCATCAACCAGAGCGTTCATGTATGGTTCAATGCAGAGAAAATTAACATTCCTTATTGCAGTTAAAAAAACTCAATCAAATCAAGAAAATACTTATATCAACGTTGTCCTAAATCATTAACAAATAGGGACCTTCGTTGCTATGGCGGCTTAAACCTGTGATGACGGTGGTGCAATGGCGCGACAAACTTCAGGTGGTGCAGCAAGCTTCATTAGATAGTGCACAACGATCCGTGAAAGGTGACAGCGGCCATCAACCAATCTTTTCCTAATTCAAATCCTTTTAAATAAATGGATTTTGACTCCTGGATAACCTCAGCTCAAAATGAAAACTCAGGCTCGAAATGAAACAAAATAGAAACAAGAGAAGCAAAATAGGAACATAAATCTTAGCTAAGAACATCATGAGAGGCGATGATTAATGGCGAGACGGTGGACGCTGAGTGGCTTCAGTGGAAGAATTTTTGAGAACCCTAGGTTATGAATTTGAAGAGTTCAGATAGGAGGTAGGTGTATACTGAGCAGCGCGTAGTAATGAGAGGCGCAAAAGAGGCCATATCATCGTCAATGGAGGTAACAAACGTAGGCTGAAGGTCGGAGACTGTACACACGGAAACAGGCTCAAATAACTCTCTTCCCCGCTTTAGTTTATTAGTAGATATGACTAGTTAATATAAACTGTCCAAAAACAAAGAAATACGGGTTAAATCAATATTTAACTGATTCATAATTAGCTCAAAATCAGAAGCTGGAGTATCTGCAATTGAATCCAAGTAGTAGATCCTACTCATCTCATGGTCAATGGCACTCAAAACCCAATGGTCACTGCATTGAAAATAGCCTCAATCATTGTGAGCATAAAAATGCACATTTACTAAGACAAAGTTTTAGACTGTATTATATGGGATTGATGTGAGTTTTCTCGCACTAAAAAATAGATAGTAGTATAGGGTGTAAGTACGAGTATCGTCTCCACAGGGACAAAAAAGGGAATCAAGAATTAATTAAATTCAGCGATTAAAATAAATAAAAAAGTGTCGTGCGAGATTGATTGATTGGAAAATTAAATTAAAAAGCAAGCAACGAATAAAAATAAATTGGTTTCTTCTTAATTAACGACGAAGGGACAAGGATTGAGTCCGGGGTACAAGATTTCTGGCATATAAGGCTTAATTACATGAACTTAATTTAATTGAGCCTAGTTTATCGTTACTAAGTTCTTACCGTTCTCGCGGCGTAGAGTACAATAATTTAGGGAACCAGGCTGTTCTCTCATACGACAGGATCCTAAATTATTGTCAAGACGAGCGAGCTCACGATCCCTTAATCGCTACTAATCTCTTAGCGAACGATTAAGTGTGTGTGAATGTGTCCTAGAATAAACTAGATCTCTCTTAATTTATTCTACAAACAATTGTAATTCTAGCCGCGGTTCCAGGTTACAAAAGATATCAGTTAAATTAATCAAACACAAATTAAACGACATTCATGCAATTAATCCATCAAGAAACTAGTCATACATCATGATCAACCCCTTCATCAATCCCAAATCCATAATTAAACTACTCACAACTCATAATTGATAAATCAACGGAATTGGGATGAATATAAATAATTTTCATCAATTAAAAAGATGAAACTTACAAATAATCCCAGGGTCTTGAAAAATAATGCGCAAGAAAAGGTAGATACTCGTCCAAAGGATTCTTTATGAAGTTCGTAACCCCAAAATATGAGTATGGAGGTCTTATTTATAGAAAATAGACAAATTTCTTCTCAAACTGGGATTTCTGGGGTCAGGCACGGTGCTCGGCCCGATCGTGCCTAAGACCGTGCCTCCGGAGCACTTCGCGCGCAATATGGGCAGGCATGATCGTGCCTCCCTGACAGTCACGATCGTGCCTGGCCTCCAGTAGCTTAGTTCTTCTTCTTTCTACAAGCACGCCGTGCCTATCTGTCAGTAACGACTGTGCCTGGCTTTTTCTTCCGAATTTGACTATGCTTCCTTCACCAAAGTTGTAGATAATGAAGTCTTCTATCCACCACAACTTGCAAAACTAGATTTGGAGCATCCAATAAAAAGATATGATTAAAATGGTGGAAGGTCGCATCCTGAACTAAATCATTAACAAATAGGAACCTTCGTTGCTATGGTAGCTTAAACCTGTGGTGATGGTGGTGCAATGACGCTACAGACTTGAGGTGGTGTAGCAAGCTTCATCAGATAGTGCAGAACGAACCGTTGAAGGTGACATCGGCTATCAACCAATCTTTTCCTAATTCAAATCCTTTTAAATAAATGGATTTAACTCCTGGATAACCTCCGCTCGAAATGAAAACTCAGGCTCGAAATGAAATGAAATAGAAAGAGAAGCAAAATAGGAATAGAAATCTTAGCTAAGAACATCATGAGAGGCGATGATTACTGGCGAGACAGTGGACGCTGGGTGGCTTCAATGGCAGAATTTTTTAGAACCCTAGGTTATGAATTCCAAGAGTTCAGATAGGAGGTAGGTGTATACTGAGCAACGCGTAGTAATGAGAGGCGCAAAAGAGGCCATATCATCGTCAACGGAGGTAACAGACGGAGGCTGAAGGTCAGGGACTGTACACACAGAAAAAGGCTCAAATAACTCTCTTCCCCGCTTTAGTTTATTAGGAGATATGACTGGTTAATGTAAATGTCCAAAAACAAAGAAATATGGGTTAAATCAATATTTAACTGATTCATAATTAGCTCAAAATCAGAAGCTGGAGTATCTCCAATTGAATCCAAGTAGTAGATCCTACTCATCTCATGGTCAATGGCACCCAAAACCCAATGGTCAATGCATTAAAAATAGCCTCAATCATTGTGAGCATAAAAATGCACATTTACTAAGACAAAGTTTTAGACTATATTATATGGGATTGATGTGAGTTTTCTCGCACTTAATTAACGACGAAGGGGCAAGGATTGATTCCGGGGTGACCAGATTTCTGGCATATCAGGCTTAATTACATGAACTTAATTTACTTGAGCCTAGCTTATCATTACTAAGTTCTTACCGTTCTCGCGGCGTAGAGTACAATAATTTAGGAAACCAGGTTGTTCTCTCATGCGACAGGATCCTAAATTATTGTCAAGACGAGCGACCTTACGATCCCTTAATCTCTGCTAATCTCTTAGCGAATGATTAAGTGTGTGTGAATGTGTCCTAGAATAAACTAGATCTCTCTTAATTTATTCTACAAACATATGTAATTCTAGCCGCGGTTCCAGGTTACAAAAGATATGAGTTAAATTAATCAAACACAAATTAAACGACATTCATGCAATTAATCCATCAAGAAACTAGCCATACATCATGATCAACCCCTCTATCAATCCCAAATCCGTAATTTAACTACTCACAACTCATAATTGATAAATCAACAGAATTGGGATGGATAGAAATAATTTTCATCAATAAAAAAGATGAAACTTACAATTAATCCCAGGGTCTTGAAGAATAATGCGTAAAAAAGGTAGAAACTCGTCCCTAGGCTTCTCTATGAAGTTCGCAACCCTGAAATATGAGTATGGAGGCCTTATTTATATAAAATAGACAAGTTTCGCTCAAACTAGGATTTCCGGGGTCAGGCACGGTGCCAGGCCCGATCATGACTACGACCGTGCATCCGGAGCACTTTGCGCGCAATATGGGCAGGCATGATCGTGCCTCCCTGGCAGTCACAATCGTGCCTGGCCTCCAATAGCTTAGTTCCTCTTCCTTTTTCAAGCACGTCGTGCCTATCTGTCATGAACGACTGTGCCTGGCTTTTTCTTCCGAATTTGACTATGCATCCTTCACCAAAGTTGTAGATAATGAAGTCTTCTATCCACCACAACTTTCAAAACTAGGTTTGGAGCATCCAATAAAAAGATATGATTAAAATGGTGGAAGGTCGCATCCTGAAATCTCAACAGTGATCATCTGACTTCCTCGTATGTTTTCCCCTCTGTTCCTCTCAGATTCTTGTCATGGTGTCTTCATATGCTTTGTTTCCCTTGAAGTTAGATTTTATATGGAACGTGAATCGTGTATCTTGGATATTTCTACAAAAAGA